GTCACTTCGCCCTTCTGCTCCTTCAAAATTGTTCAATCCTAAAGCAATAGAACTTGACAGAACCAAAACAAATGTGGAGTTCAACAGATTTATTAGGTCATAATTAAGTACAAGAAACTTTGCATTCGAAGAAGAAATCGAATAATTACTGCAACATAAGGCTTCTACTGATCACTGTAATTTGCCTTCCACTCGGAGTCGTTTCCTCATTCTGTTGAGAAGAATCTGTTGCATTCGGGCTCGACGTCGATTATGCATAACTGCCACAAACAAAGCGAGGAGTACGAAGAAGACTGAAAAGTTCTCCGGGAACAATTAGACGAGATTCTTAGTTTTTTTTTTTCAGATCGGATCTGCTTCACAAATAAGCGTATTGACTCAAAAGACGGTTTGATGAGGGCTAGATTTCAACTTTTTTCTAGCAAACTGCATAGAGACACCGAGTATGAAAAATATGAGGACGCCTTTACTAACCGAATGTTGATGGATCTACTATGTTATATGTTTATGTAAACACGTTCAAAAGACGATTTGCATTGAAAAAGACTGTAACTGAGTGAAAAGGGAGAAAAGACAGAAGAAATGCAGAGTGACAGCACACATCAGACAAAAAGTATCGCATTGACTCCTATGGAGGCAAAAGATCAGATGATGATTTCATTTTGAAGAGTTTTACTGAGTCTCAAAGCTGCTTCACAGCTCTAACAGCAATAATCGACCATTAAGAGTTATTTTTAGCCTGATTGATCTCCCACTGAAACTGTTTATGATAGTGTTGTGAGGGCATCACCCAATCACTAGGCTCTATGCTCTTCGTTCAAGTTTTCTGTGGTTAGTTCAAATAGAAGAAGTGGAAGACGGTCTCTGATTGATGTGCGATGATCAATTAATCGGCACTCTTCTTACAAACCACTATACCCAAAGTCATCTTCTTACTCGTAAAGAAATCAAGGCAAAGGAGCTAGGACAGTGAACAAACAGTTCGATCAATTCATCGGTTTGATATGTATTGTTTGGGCAAAGGGCATGTAGTCAGCAGCGAGTAGCTCACTGCCATACACATTGCCCGGGCACCGATTCCCGGGCTTAGGCTCTTCTACCCAAAAGGCGTGCCGCGCTTCCCGCATCCGACCGACGGATTCTATAATAATTAGCATAATACCAGAATCTTTGATCGATACTCGCCCAGGACATCGCCTAGGACAAACAGCTTCCATCCTTTTGGGTCGGTTCAATAGCACCTGACCTGTTGAAGAGGCGAGAATTGCTGCATTGCATATTAGCTTGCTACTGCAATTCATCACGTAGACCACACACACCCGCACATTTAGAACATCCTTGTGAATCTGAATGAGAGTCAGATGCTGGGCGCATTCTAGAAGAGGTCTAATCATATATGAGAGACTATATTCTCCATTATTGGTCCGCTGACCAAGAAATACAGAGCTAAAACAATCGTACAAAGTCTGGAGAAATTTCTGGAGAGGAAAAGAATATTCGGCGTTAGCGCATGTGCAGGTTCGAATATTTCTTTCTCGCTTTACACTCATATTGGTTGAACTTTTGACCGCTCCCAGAATCGTATAGATCATTTGAATGTTTTGTAGGTTTTTGAACTAGTTATTAACGGAACTGATGCCAACTTGTTTCATTGTGACCTTGGTATAACTGTTATGATGATAATATATTTTTACCACGCGGTGTTTTAATGGGGAACAGATTAGCCATTTTGTCGACCTT